TATAAACCAACGGAATCTAATGTCTGGCCTTGTGATTTGTTGATTGTCATTGCAAAAGCTGGTCGAATTGGGAATTGACATCTCTTGAATTCAACACCAACTTGTTCCACAGTGGAGCACAAAGTGATGCGTGGATTAAGAACAATTTTACCTTCGTATGGTCCAGTGGCTACTTCTGCTTGAATTACATGCTGAAGAAAAGCTTTGCAGATAAGTCGAGTACCGTTACACACACCTTGTGCAGGTGCCAAGTTCCGAAGCATCATAATTGGGGAGCCTAGTTTTAATTTTAATTCATGAGGCGGAAGACTACCACATTCTAAAGAGTTCATAAACTCTGGTGGCAATATCAACGCATCATTATCCGAAAGAGCTGTATCAGTACTGAGAAAAATGGTGTATTCTCCTGGAAACTTTTCCAAAACATGATCATTGACGACCGATACAAACGCATTGGTTGGAGTCAATATAGCTCTTGACATCAAAGATGAATATGTAACATCACCGGCGTTTTCAAAATTGTTATATACATGGGAACAGAGGTGGTCCATGCTGCTTTCGGGAAGAACCATTTGGTCTGGTATCTGAATTATATTGCTTGTGTTTGGGTGGACAGGGTAAACACCTTTACCAATACTTAAAAGAAAAGAAGAAAATTCCTGAAGCTCTTGAGCTGATTCAAAACTATGCACCAATTGAGCTTGTTGTACGCGCATATTTAAAGATAATCGTAATTGCTTTATATGTCTCCAAAGATGAGAAGTAATCATGCAAGCTTGAATAATGTCATCTTTAGTACCTTTGGGAACAACAGGTAAAACCTGACGAAAGTCACCACCAAAAACAATTAATTTCCCCCCAAAGGGTACTCTACCAAGACGTGAATCATGATACTTCATAATATCTCGGAAACTTCGATCAACAGTTTCCAGAACATCACGACTAATCATTCAAGCTTCATCCCAAACTATAATTGTTGATGATGCTATTAATGCCGCGTTGTTACTCCTCGGCTTTAAAAAACACATTGACGCTTGATTACAATGTAAGGGGATACTGAATCTTGAATGTGCTGTACGACCACCTTTCAATAAAAGAGAAGCAGTTCCACTTACAGCTACTGACAGAGCGATACAGTTTTTTCTCCTAACAGCCTGTAACAATGCATTAAAAATGAACGTCTTGCCGGTTCCGCCAGGGCCATCCAAAAAACAAAGGTTATCTTTAAAGTGAAAGCGCGAGTTTCCGTAGATTTTTTCACTCTCGACCAAATTCATAACAGTTTCAAAAACTGCACGCTGATCACTGTTGAAAGGAAGTTCAGCTGGATCAATCATTGAGCGTTCAGCTTCCAAGCATAACTCTCGTTGTTCGCGCTCAAGACGGCTCATACCTTCAAACCCTCGACCACTGTTGCCGTTTCGTGTATCAACGGAGGGTAGACAAAAGCCGGCAAAGTCATTGATCTTGATGTTATTTAAATCAAGCATTTCATTCAAATCCAAAAGGCAGTTGCCATATGCCTCTTCTTTCATAGCATCCGTCAAAGCAGAAGTGACGTCAGTAAGAAGCCTTCTTTGAGCCAATAAATAGTCGTCAGACAGACTATCCTTATGCGTGTTCCATAATTGAAACGGGCTGGATGGCTCACAAAAAATCAAAATTGTGACAAACAATCTTCGCAACATGATAGGCGATTGGAATGTAGCACTTTCACACAAACATATGTCCCATTGTTCATCGTCAGCAAGCAGACCTTTTGCACGGGCAGCAGCTTGAAAGGTCTCATGTACCACACCGTCGACTGTTCGTACGTCTTCAAAACTTTTGGCTCCACGAACGTAGTTCAACAAAAGTCGCAAAAAATATTTTTCGGATTCTTTTGGTGAAACAGAATAGATACGGCCTATAATTTGATTAAAACCCCTTTGTCTTTTTCTCCACACAGTTTCACTTTTGAGCCATGTATAATACTCCGGAAATTCATGATATAAGTATTGATTTGCATCTGGATCAGTCCTATTTATGTTGAACCAAGCTGTCAAAGTTGTGTCTTTACTTGCTGCATTTGCAAGAACATCACCAAGATTAGCATCTTCCGAAAAATACACCATTTCTTGCCCAGGAAGGTGAATGCTTAATCTCTGATGAGCTGGGAATTCTTTATGCAATGAAAAACCAAATATTCTCCATATGGCTTCGGGTGCAGAAACATATCTTGCGTCTATGAATCGATTGATTTCGTCCTGACATATCAAATTATTTTGCTGTCCATCACTACTTACTTGAACACTTGCTCTATCGTGACCTTTATATACATATTTATAAAGATACTTTACGGCTGAAACAGTGTTGCATATTTCGACATTTATATGGGCATCATACTTCGTACAGAGATAAATGTTGTGAGGTACAACCCAAATATTATCCAATGCAATTCCATTTGCTTTTGTAACACTTCTACCATCTCGTCTTCTTCTGTAAATTGGATAGCCAGATTCAGCTGTTGTTGTAGTAGCAGTAAACTTTTTGGGGTAACCCTTTGAGCACTTTCCATCTTTCATGCAAATGGCACTGGGATTTAATGAGCCACATGGGCCATGCATCATGTTTTTTGTGACCGTATGATAGGCTAAGGAATGTTGTTCTTCATTTGGAATCTCAGCTGAAATAATCTTGTCAAAATCACTGGTTGTTCTAGGTCTGTCTTCAGGTTTTACAATGAACAACATATGAGCATGAGGTAAACCTCTTTTTTGAAAATCGATCACTGCAACGTATCCAACGACGACACCAAGAACATGGTCTTTGGTAATGTCTTTTAAAAGGCTTTTATACTTCAGTCGAAAAACTCTTGCACAAAGATCTGGTCTGTCTGCTGCGGTTTGCCCATACAACAATTCGTTTTGGATTTCCGGCCACGTAGGATTACACGTAAACGTGATAAAAAAGTCGGGTTTGCCAAATCGTCTAACAATGCTAATGGCATCTTGATACAACTGGGACATATGTCGTGGGCCACCAATGAAGGAGCTTGGAAGAATAATTTTACGACCAAGAGAGCTCGTATCATTGTCATCGTGTGCGACCGCATCTTGTAATCCACGGTAGAGTTCAGTTCGAAGACTTGACTGGTTATGTCTAATAAAATTTAAACGAAATTGCTCAATCTTAGCGTACATATCCACAATAAACTAATGGAAAAGTTTTCCATAAAGGTGGAGATCATGTCCACAGCTTCTAAACATAAGATGAAAACTATAAAATTGCATGGTGGTGACTTTTAAACCGCTTTCAGATACGCATGATTTATGCCATCCCGATTGACCCGTTGGGAAGATTAAGGCGTAAGACATAGGATCGTAGATCTGGTTTAACTCGTTGATACTCTTAAGTTGTCCCTGATTTTGGGGTCTAATAATAATATCCCTAACCCTTATCTCATCCCCCTCCTGTCTATTGTCACTTCCCAAAATTAATATCCCAACTTCAGTCGAATTAGTTGGTGAATTATATCTTCGTGGATCTGGTAATCCTTCGGCCTGGAATACCATTGCCACATCTGCAACGTGATCTGGATTCTCAATCAAATATTGGTTCATCGTCTTAAAGTCTCTGACTATAGGATTGATATCATGCATTAAAGTTTGTAAGTCTCCTAACGTGTTGATGTCGACATGGCTTGCAACGCGGTGTCTATTTTCAATCTCATGTTCAGCAACAAAGACATAAATTTGAGCAAATGATGGTGCGACATTGTTGGATGGGAGCAACGATCCAATTCGATGATAAATGCTGCCATGAATTCGGAAAGCATAGGCCCCGCCGCGAGAGTTCTGAACAGATTCGTCCAAATTGACACCCATTGATGTGAAGCTTAAAGCATTGTTGTAAGACCGTATGTGTTTTTTAAACTCCTTGCTTCTTTGATCATTTCCGCATAATAAGTTGGATATAAGTCCAGGTGTAGGGTGAAATTGTGTCACTTTGTATTTACCCAACCCGCAGCAAAGTTGAAATCTAGCAGTATGTAGACCACCTTTTGATCTTTCTTCGACCCACATGAATGCATTGCATTCAGAACACATAGTCGTCAATCTTCCCAAACAATGTCTACCGGGCAGTATTTCAGTTTGCTTTGCTTGATTTAAAGTCTGGTTGGCACGATTACTGTTCATGGGGCACAAACGGCTCGATCTTCTTAAATGCCCAAGTTGTTGACAGGTTGAACAACGGACAACTCTTCCTTGGACTGGCTTATGAGTTTAATCAACTCAGGTTCGTCTACCTCCATATCCTGTTTGGAATTAACGTTAGTCAGAATGCTCAAAAAAATATTCGTCTTTTGCTGTACCTCAGGAATTGAGGTTGAGCTACTTTGTGCATTGTTATTGTTATTAACTGAAGATGGAACCTAAAAAAAAAAGTCAGTCTTTTCAAATAAAAAAAAAAAAAAAAAAAAAAGAGAGAGAGATGCCTACATTCGTATTTAGGTTTACTGGATTTAAAGGACAATCTCGGTGGGATCTACGACTATGTCCTTCTTGACCACAGGACGCACAATTTACACTATTATTTGACATGTTTAAAAAAATAAAGGGACAACGTTAATCCTATGGACCGTATTCTTGGGTGGAGGGGTTCCGCCTCCCCCCAAACCCCCCTCCCCTCTTGCGGGGGAAACCCCCGCACCCCCCAATTTTTTTATCACTGCTTAAAAATTACACTGCTAAAAAAAAAAAAAAAAAAAAATAATGTTTTATAAGATATAAGCTCTTTCATGCTAATCCTATGGGCCGTATTCTTGGGGGGTGGGGTTCCCCCTCCCCCCAAACCCCCCACCCCTCTTGCGGGGGAAACCCCCGCACCCCCATTAAAAATCCTAACTTTTGTAACTTTTGTGACTGAAAATTAGCTCGCCTTGTGACTGCGTAGTTACGATTCCAGTAATTTTAATATAATAATATGGACGATTAATAACAACATTGAATATTTTCAGTGCTTAAGAATCCGAATTATCCAAACGAAGAATTAAAATCTGCAGGCCCCAAAAACCTTCTATCAGATTATTTAATGTCCAAATCCGATTACGGAAATCACGAATGTTGTTTTATTTTTCAATAAGAGCCTTTAATTTTTATCGATTTACTTTTTTTTTACCATCTCCATTTTATTTTACAGATATGAGTTTCCAAAATTATTCAAGTGCTGACTTCATCAATGGCCAACGCCCAAACCCTCCTGTGGTAAGAGGCCGACCCAGAGTAAACCCTCCGTCTGCTGCACAGATTCCCACTGACGTACCTGTTCCATCCTCTCAACCTGTACCTACCCCTTCTTCTGTACCTGCACCATCTTCCGAAGATGTTCCTTCTGCTGGTCCTGTTCCTTCTGCTGGTCCTGTTCCTTCTGCTGGTCCTGTTCCTGCTACCGAGCAAGCTCCTCCTCCTGCTGCTGAGCCAGTTTCTGCTGCCGATTCCGTACCAGAGCCTAACACCAACCTTAACTGGGATTCACCAAGCACACATGTATTGATTGAAATTTTTCCTGCGTATCTGGTTGAAGCGGGTGTGACTAGCTCAAATGAGCCAAGGCAGCCTTAATCCAAAAGACAGAAAAAGCCTTCAATGACAACGCAGCCGTCAATGGCCGAAGAGACATCTGTGCCATGACCACTAAATGGCATGCTCTTCATGCTAAGTATCGAAGCAGACGAGACAATGCTAATTCTACTGGTAGTGCACCTCTTCAACACTGGGAGTTTCATGATTTGATGGAGCAGGCAACAATACAAATGCCAACTACAAACCCGCCTGTTACATACAGCTCCCATTCCAGAGAAACTGTGGACAACCGTGGTGATTATGCCACCAGAAGACGTGGTCATTCAGAAGTCGATAATAATAATGAAGAGGATGAGGATGAGGATGAGGATGTCGTTCCTCAGGTAAATGCAAGACGTCCACGTAATGTAAGTGTGTCAATGTGGTTTATGGCAAACCATATGGAGCAAATGGAAGCTCAAAGCCGGGTTGAGAGAGCAGCTGATCGTGCTCGTATGATCGAAGAAAGGAATACCGATCGTGCACGTTTGGCTGCTGAACGAGAGGCAGATATTGTTCGTATGGCTGAAGAAGATATACCGACGAAATCAACTGGATCATAACAACGATTACAGACGACAAAATACTGAGTTGTTAAGAGAGGCTACTTTGTCCATGTCCCGAATGGTAGATTTGTTTGCTGCTTCAATTGCTCAAAATAACAATGCCACTCGTGCTCCCACCCCTACCACTACCACCAGCAACAACAATCCCCTTTCTCCCAATCCTTCTACAGATAATATCATTTAAATAAAATTGAATAAAACAAAAAGTTTTCTATACTTATCTATTTCTATTTCTAAGTCTAGTTCTTCTTCTACTTCTACTTCTAGTTGCTCTTCTATCCCCTCTAGCCGCCCCACGTCTACTTCTACGTCTCATCAATTCCTCAAAAATGGTACTCCTTCTGCTACTACCGCCTACATCAGGTGCGTCTTCATCTTCAGGAACAGCTGTACTATGATCTTGAAGGTGAACAGTGTCGGTAAACCCGGTATCACCAAGGTCGATACACATATTGTGTAAAATACAACATCCGGTAATCACCTCGTTGATCTTCAACTGGTCCAACATGTAAATGTACTTGCCCGTAAATCTCCAACGAGCCACCAACACACCAAAGGCTCTTTCGATCGCCATTCTTGTAGATGAATGTACACGATTGAATGTACGCTTGCGACTGTCTAACACGCATTGACTCTCAGAAAATGGTGTGATCAAGTTGGGTCCCAAAGGATAGGCAGAGTCACCGATCATGAACGTGTTGTCAGGAAAGTGAAGGTCTGGGTGGCGAAGAATTTCACTCGCTATATCACTTGATCGGAAAGCAGCAGCATCATGCGTTCTTCCTGAAGTAAATATTGTTGTGTTAGCTTTTATATTGTTTCATCGTAGATCATTTTAGTACAATACCTGAGTCACCCACTTTGATATACGTGAATCGTAATGCAGAATCACATACGGCAGTAAGCTTCACGGAATAGTTGTTCTTTCTATCCCTGAACATAGCACCCACGGTTGGAGGGGAAGGTTGGTGAATGATAAAGTTCTTACCATCCACAGCACCAATCACACCATTCAATCTATCCCCAGTGCTACTCCCAAAACCGACAGCGATCGCATTGGCTCTGATAGGGTCTGATGGCCATGTCAATAAATGACCAAGGTGATCCTTAATTGCTTTGAGTGTTCTTGTGGTGAAGTTGTTATAACTACCTGATGAAACACCCAAAAGCATATACGCTTGACGATATCCGATATGGCAATTAGCCAACCGAAATAAAGCCGTTGCGACTTGGATATAAATCGGAATAGTATTGGGAGCAACAAGATTGAATTCTTCGTGTGCCGAAAGCTCGTCCACCAAATGCTCAAAAGCACGCTTACCCATACGGTAGTTGGCGCGATAACTACTGACCTGGTTTTCGTCATTGTCATTGAGGAATGGGTGCTCCAATCTCCAAAAGTGGTATCGACGCGATTCACGTCTAGCATCAGCACTAATTACTGTTCTTGTTCTTTCTACATGTTCGCCCATCATGAAAATGGGGAGATTGTTAATAGAAACTCCATATTGATTGCGGTAGTTGCTGGCAATAAAATCATATTGGAGACGTTCTGCTTGGTAAAGTTCTCTACTGGAATGAAGAGTCGTCATATTTTCTACGAGGCGTTGTCCAGTAGAATTGAGAATTTCCATTCTATCTTCTTCGAGAGATTCAGATTCTTCGTTGATTCGAACTATAAGGAGCTGCAACTGAGACACGATAAACGCAATTTGTTGTGGGGTCATCATTCTTAAACTGTAATTTTTATCTTTTTAAAATAATAAAAAAATCGGTTAAACTGAAATTTTGTCTTTAAAAAATAAAGGAACAGATATTTTAGTAATCTGCAAAAACTTTATTATTAATCATTCAAATTGGGTCATTTAAGGAGTAAGGGCTTCCATAATGTTTGTTAAAGAGTATATCATATTGTTAGATGACATAATTAGTTCAGGGTTGTAATAAAAAAAATTCTTATCAAGCGCGAGAACCAGACAGGTGCTCAAAAAAAAAAAAAAAAAAAAAAAGGAATCACAGTCCTGTTTTCCGAAAATCATTTACCATCTACCAACAAATATAAAAATTCTTACCCCCTCTTCAGAAAAAAAAAAAAAAAGAAAAAAAAAACCGTAAAGGTAGCAACCGACTACAGTTCACGAAGAGTGAAAGCTGGAGGCCAAACAACCTTAAATATGTTCAGTGAATTCGAGTACTGGACAAGACCAACAGCTTAAAGAAAGTCGCTTACTGGTATCAGGGCTTACTTTCTGTATTTTTCACCTACAGAGCTTGAAGTCAAAGTTACAACATTATAACTGTGAAACTTCTGCTTCATACCCCCAAAACTGCTAAGAAATGTTCAGTGCCGCTACAAATATAGGAGTAGATTGTCCTGTGGCTGTTGCGGGCCTTGCAATAGAGAAGACGAGAGGAATAATTCGCTCTTTAAAATAATGTGATAATGAGATTCATAAACCCGTTTTTTTTTTCTGTCTCTGTTCCTCTCTTTCTTTCACTTTCACTTTTTTTCACTTTTGATAAAATATTTCTTAGATTTTAATTCATGTAATACACTACAAGAACATAAGTTATAGGTGCTAAACTTGAATAAATTTACAATGCTAGTGAGTGTACCCATCTTATCTTATTAAGAATTGTTAGGTATATTCACCAAGAAATGTTTAAACATGATGTATCTAAGGTAATTGTGGTTGCCTATGAAGTTTAATACGCCTTTCTGATTTGTATGTTGTATAGATGCTGAGCACTTCACTGTCAATAACTGGGTATTTTAAAAAAATATAAGGCTAATTGTTTTTAAGCTGTTTTTTTATTTTAGGCTATTTTTTTTTGTTTTATGCTCTTTTTTTTATTTTAGGCCGTATTTTAGCATAGGCTGTTTATTCTAGGTTACTTCTAAGAACTATATCGCTCTTTACCATATGGCTTTTACCTGTATACATGTAAGTCTGTCAGGCAATTCTGTTGCTTCCTTAACAGGTTATTAGTATGTGAGTACTGTAAATATCTACACGCGAATAATTCCCTATAGCTTTTAGAGATGACGTATAGTATACTTAAAATTGCTTCCAGTTTAAAATCTCAAAATAATCATTTTTAAACAAAATTTAAACGTCTTTTTAAACCATATTTCCTATGTAAGCACCATATCCATGTGAACAATTAATAAACTAGTGTTGAATATCAAGTGTGTATTTGTAAAAGGGAAGCATCTGTGCGAATAATAAGGCAATGTACGATTGGTAAAAGGTCCAAATACATGTATAAATAAACAGCGTATAACGGTAAAAATCTACCATTGGTTGAGAAAACGAACAACCATTCAATGTTAGTTTTAAACAATCATTCATTGTGAATTTACACAAAATGCACCATCATTGATTGCTTAAACCGGCCATTTAAGCAATCAATGATGGTGTTTGGTGTGTTTTAGCAACATTTTACCATTTGGTGCGCCGCTGTGTACTATCTATACAAAGTCAAAGGAAGAGTGCTTTATAAAGTATTTAATTATAATAATAGATTTTACGAGGAGGGGAAGGAATGCAAGATAATTGACATGGAACGGGGAAGGTGTGGGAAAGGGAGAGTAATTATATTTTTTCAAAAAACATGAGTTTGCATTTAAGGATGTCTAGGATTACTTAATTAGTCTTAGTGTTCCCTTCGGCCTATGTGGTTAAAACTCAAGACTCATGATTAATAATTAGTTGGCGTCAAAGATACTTGGAAGCGAGTCATGATTACTAATCTTTTGGAAGCGCGGATTCATTGCATGGATTGTCATGGAAGGTTCAGGCCACTGATGGTTTTGTATCTCAGATCGATATTCAAAAACATTCCGGTAGTTGGGGTTTTATGGTCATGACTAAAGTGAAAAGTACCTGATTTATGACCCAGTCGTCATTATTTTAATGGCACTAACCAGTAGCACTAAATTAACCTAATGCCGGAAACAGAGTGTAGATCTATTAGAAAAACCAAAAAGGTTAACTCATCAGTGAAACCTAGGAGAGTAATGCAATGTAGGAAGGATTATTTAATTCATAGCATCAGAGTTCTTTTATTTTATTTCTACCTCTAAGAATATATACTCCCATCTCGTTATTTCTTCAAGCGTTATGTTTCTGTCAAATACCACACACAGGTATCATGCATGATTTATTGACAAGGATAATTAATTGACATAAAATGAGTAGTAACTTGTAAGATTTAGTAGACATTGAATAATATGATTGTTCGCGGAACCTTTTTGGTTTGACACAGGCGGAAAATTGTGTCGGGAAAAAAGTACTAAATGATCCAAAAAAAGTTCGTTAAGGTTAAGTCAGACAGGAAGCTAGAACAATACCGAGAGACAGATTAATGATATTCCTGAGAATAAATTCGTCAGCGGGCAATTCGTACTGATATGACTTATGGTACAAGGTTTTACAGGGTGCTTCATAGCGGAAGAGATATACTTAATATTATTGAAAACAAAGTTTTAAGATGATCAAGATCTAGATTAAGTCGTGGGGATAACAAACAGGTAGAGAATGTTGGTAGCAGTCTAACTTCGTATTTTGTTTATAATCAAAAAGCACTAACTATCCGTCGAAAACCAGAACATTCTTTGAAAATTTAATCCTTAGAAATGTACCAAATAAAAAAGCGCTCCACAAGAGTAAAACAGCATAAGACTCGTAAAACATCAACCATAAACACAAACATTAATCATTAATGATGTACCAAACACAAACAAAATTACCAAAGTCTTTAAAAGCTCCTCAGCCAAACAAAAATTATAATATAATATTCTTAACAAATAACGGGTTATAACGGACTGACATTCACGCTTGTAGCATCGGTAACACAAAACAAAATACTCCCTGGCACACGGCCGAAAATGTAGCCTAAAAAAAAAAAATACAGTTTTTTTTGAAAAACACCAGCCAAAATTCTGGTCAAAAATCCAAATGTTTTTTCCCTATGCAGACATTGAACCATGCAGACATTGAACCGAAAATCCAGGCTAGGCTGTGGGTAGTGCACATAGACGTTAAAAATATCCTATACTGTTTTTTGTGTGCAAGGTTAGCATTAAAAAGGAGTTTGAAGGTTGTAATAGATTCAGAGGTTTCTGGATTAACCCAAACTACAATAAAAATGATATCCCACCGTTGCAAAACTTATGCTAGATTGATATTTTTGAGGTAAGTCACCTTGAAAAAGGTCTAGCCAATCTTTGAAGGCTGACTGAGCTTGAACACTTGGCAAATTGTGTAACTTTGTGCCCGGAAATGAATTCAGCAAGTTTCTAGCTTTCGAAAACTGTAAGGTATGTATGGGTAACTCTGTCTGGATATTGCAAGCCGAAAGTTTAAAGCATCTATATGTGTTTCAGGAGTAGAGGTGGATATACTGGTGTTTTAAGCTGTCACAGAAACTGTCACAAATATGTTTGATCGAAGATTGTGAACGAACGCTTGGAAGGTTATGTACTTTTTTTTTTTTAAATATGTTTAATTTTTTCTGAAATTTCTGAAAATGTGACTGAAAGTATAGCATTCCTGTCCAGATTTTAAACCAGAGTAATTTTAATATTTTTTCAAGCACTTTTGGCGTAGAGCCCAAGATATTTGTTCTTTAAACAAATATTGTGAACGAACGCTTGGAAGGTTATGTACTTTTTTTTTTTTAAATGTATTCAGTTTTTTTGAATTTTCTGAAAATTTAATTTAAATTGTACTATCTCTGTCCAGATTTCGGACCAGAGTTATTTTAATATTTTTTCAAGCACGTTTGGCCCACAGCCAAAGGTATAGGTCCTTTAACCAAAGATTGTGATCGAACCCTTGGCAGGTTATGTACTTTTTTTCTTTTAAATGTATTCAGTTTTTTCTGTATTTTCTGAAAATGTAATTGAAAGTATAGCATTCCTGTCCAGATTTCAGACCAGAGTTATTTTAATATTTTTTCATGCACCTGTGGCCTACAGCCTACAGCCAAATATATTGAACTTTAAACAATGATTGTGAACGAACGCTTGGCAGGTTATACACTTTTTTTTTCATTAATCGACTCCAAATTTCCAGGGCTTTCCAAAAAGCTAATAATATTTGGATGGTTAAATCTCAAAAAAGTTGTACTATGCAGACATTGAACCATGCAGACATTGAACCGAAAATCCAGGCTAGGCTGTGGGTAGTGCACATAGACGTTAAAAATATCCTATACTGTTTTTTGTGTGCAAGGTTAGCATTAAAAAGGAGTTTGAAGGTTGTAATAGATTCAGAGGTTTCTGGATTAACCCAAACTACAATAAAAATGATATCCCACCGTTGCAAAACTTATGCTAGATTGATATTTTTGAGGTAAGTCACCTTGAAAAAGGTCTAGCCAATCTTTGAAGGCTGACTGAGCTTGAACACTTGGCAAATTGTGTAACTTTGTGCCCGGAAATGAATTCAGCAAGTTTCTAGCTTTCGAAAACTGTAAGGTATGTATGGGTAACTCTGTCTAGATATTGCAAGCCGAAAGTTTTAAGCATCTATATGTGTTTCAGGAGTAGAGGTGGATATACTGGTGTTTTAAGCTGTCACAGAAACTGTCACAAATATGTTTGATCGAAGATTGTGAACGAACGCTTGGAAGGTTATGTACTTTTTTTTTTTTAAATATGTTTAATTTTTTCTGAAATTTCTGAAAATGTGACTGAAAGTATAGCATTCCTGTCCAGATTTTACACCAGAGTAATTTTAATATTTTTTCATGCACTTTTGGCGTAGAGCCCAAGATATTTGTTCTTTAAACAAATATTGTGAACGAACGCTTGGAAGGTTATGTACTTTTTTTTTTTTAAATGTATTCAGTTTTTTCTGAATTTTCCGAAAATGTAATTTAAATTGTACTATCTCTGTCCAGATTTCGGACCACAGTTATTTTAATATTTTTTCAAGCATCTTTGGCTGTGGGCCAAAGGTATAGGTCCTTTAACCAAAGATTGTGAACGAACCCTTGGCAGGTTATGTACTTTTTTTCTTTTAAATGTATTCAGTTTTTTCTGTATTTTCTGAAAATGTAATTGAAAGTATAGCATTCCTGTCCAGATTTCAGACCAGAGTTATTTTAATATTTTTTCATGCACCTGTGGCCTACAGCCTACAGCCAAATATATTGAACTTTAACCAATGATTGTGAACGAACGCTTGGCAGGTTATACACTTTTTTTTTCATTAATCGACTCCAAATTTCCAGGGCTTTCCAAAAAGCTAATAATATTTGGATGGTTAAATCTCAAAAAAGTTGTACTATGCAGACATTGAACCGAAAATCCAGGCTAAGCTGTGGGTAGTGCACATAGACGTTAAAAATTTTCTATGATGTTTTTTGTGTGCAAAGTTAGGATTAAAAAAGAGTTTGAAGGTTGTAATAGATTGAGGGGTATCTGGATTAACCCAAAGTACAATAAAAATGATAACCCACCTTTGAAAAACCTATGCTAGATTGATATTTGTGTGGTAAGTCACCATGAAAAAGGTCTAGCCAATCTTTGAAGGCTGACTGAGCTTGAACACTTGGCAAATTGTGTAACTTTGTGCCCGGAAATGAATTCAGCAAGTTTCCAGCTTTCGAAAACTGTAAGGTATGTATGGGTAACTCTGTCTAGATATTGCAAGCCGAAAGTTTTAAGCATCTATATGTGTTTCAGGAGTAGAGGTGGATATACTGGTGTTTTAAGCTGTCACAGAAACTGTCACAAATATGTTTGATCGAAGATTGTGAACGAACGCTTGGAAGGTTATGTACTTTTTTTTTTTTAAATATGTTTAATTTTTTCTGAAATTTCTGAAAATGTGACTGAAAGTATAGCATTCCTGTCCAGATTTTACACCAGAGTAATTTTAATATTTTTTCATGCACTTTTGGCGTAGAGCCCAAGATATTTGTTCTTTAAACAAATATTGTGAACGAACGCTTGGAAGGTTATGTACTTTTTTTTTTTTAAATGTATTCAGTTTTTTCTGAATTTTCCGAAAATGTAATTTAAATTGTACTATCTCTGTCCAGATTTCGGACCACAGTTATTTTAATATTTTTTCAAGCATCTTTGGCTGTGGGCCAAAGGTATAGGTCCTTTAACCAAAGATTGTGAACGAACCCTTGGCAGGTTATGTACTTTTTTTCTTTTAAATGTATTCAGTTTTTTCTGTATTTTCTGAAAATGTAATTGAAAGTATAGCATTCCTGTCCAGATTTCAGACCAGAGTTATTTTAATATTTTTTCATGCACCTGTGGCCTACAGCCTACAGCCAAATATATTGAACTTTAACCAATGATTGTGAACGAACGCTTGGCAGGTTATACACTTTTTTTTTCATTAATCGACTCCAAATTTCCAGGGCTTTCCAAAAAGCTAATAATATTTGGATGGTTAAATCTCAAAAAAGTTGTACTATGCAGACATTGAACCGAAAATCCAGGCTAAGCTGTGGGTAGTGCACATAGACGTTAAAAATTTTCTATGATGTTTTTTGTGTGCAAAGTTAGGATTAAAAAAGAGTTTGAAGGTTGTAATAGATTGAGGGGTATCTGGATTAACCCAAAGTACAATAAAAATGATAACCCACCTTTGAAAAACCTATGCTAGATTGATATTTGTGTGGTAAGTCACCATGAAAAAGGTCTAGCCAATCTTTGAAGGCTGACTGAGCTTGAACACTTGGCAAATTGTGTAACTTTGTGCCCGGAAATGAATTCAGCAAGTTTCCAGCTTTCGAAAACTGTAAGGTATGTATGGGTAACTCTGTCTAGATATTGCAAGCCGAAAGTTTTAAGCATCTATATGTGTTTCAGGAGTAGAGGTGGATATACTGGTGTTTTAAGCTGTCACAGAAACTGTCACAAATATGTTTGATCGAAGATTGTGAACGAACGCTTGGAAGGTTATGTACTTTTTTTTTTTTAAATATGTTTAATTTTTTCTGAAATTTCTGAAAATGTGACTGAAAGTATAGCATTCCTGTCCAGATTTTACACCAGAGTAATTTTAATATTTTTTCATGCACTTTTGGCGTAGAGCCCAAGATATTTGTTCTTTAAACAAATATTGTGAACGAACGCTTGGAAGGTTATGTACTTTTTTTTTTTTAAATGTATTCAGTTTTTTCTGAATTTTCCGAAAATGTAATTTAAATTGTACTATCTCTGTCCAGATTTCGGACCACAGTTATTTTAATATTTTTTCAAGCATCTTTGGCTGTGGGCCAAAGGTATAGGTCCTTTAACCAAAGATTGTGAACGAACCCTTGGCAGGTTATGTACTTTTTTTCTTTTAAATGTATTCAGTTTTTTCTGTATTTTCTGAAAATGTAATTGAAAGTATAGCATTCCTGTCCAGATTTCAGACCAGAGTTATTTTAATATTTTTTCATGCACCTGTGGCCTACAGCCTACAGCCAAATATATTGAACTTTAACCAATGATTGTGAACGAACGCTTGGCAGGTTATACACTTTTTTTTTCATTAATCGACTCCAAATTTCCAGGGCTTTCCAAAAAGCTAATAATATTTGGATGGTTAAATCTCAAAAAAGTTGTACTATGCAGACATTGAACCATGCAGACATTGAACCGAAAATCCAGGCTAGGCTGTGGGTAGTGCACATAGACGTTAAAAATATCCTATACTGTTTTTTGTGTGCAAGGTTAGCATTAAAAAGGAGTTTGAAGGTTGTAATAGATTCAGAGGTTTCTGGATTAACCCAAACTACAATAAAAATGATATCCCACCGTTGCAAAACTTATGCTAGATTGATATTTTTGAGGTAAGTCACCTTGAAAAAGGTCTAGCCAATCTTTGAAGGCTGACTGAGCTTGAACACTTGGCAAATTGTGTAACTTTGTGCCCGGAAATGAATTCAGCAAGTTTCTAGCTTTCGAAAACTGTAAGGTATGTATGGGTAACTCTGTCTGGATATTGCAAGCCGAAAGTTTAAAGCATCTATATGTGTTTCAGGAGTAGAGGTGGATATACTGGTGTTTTAAGCTGTCACAGAAACTGTCACAAATATGTTTGATCGAAGATTGTGAACGAACGCTTGGAAGGTTATGTACTTTTTTTTTTTTAAATATGTTTAATTTTTTCTGAAATTTCTGAAAATGTGACTGAAAGTATAGCATTCCTGTCCAGATTTTAAACCAGAGTAATTTTAATATTTTTTCAAGCACTTTTGGCGTAGAGCCCAAGATATTTGTTCTTTAAACAAATATTGTGAACGAACGCTTGGAAGGTTATGTACTTTTTTTTTTTTAAATGTATTCAGTTTTTTTTGAATTTTCTGAAAATTTAATTTAAATTGTACTATCTCTGTCCAGATTTCGGACCAGAGTTATTTTAATATTTTTTCAAGCACGTTTGGCCCACAGCCAAAGGTATAGGTCCTTTAACCAAAGATTGTGATCGAACCCTTGGCAGGTTATGTACTTTTTTTCTTTTAAATGTATTCAGTTTTTTCTGTATTTTCTGAAAATGTAATTGAAAGTATAGCATTCCTGTCCAGATTTCAGACCAGAGTTATTTTAATATTTTTTCATGCACCTGTGGCCTACAGCCTACAGCCAAATATATTGAACTTTAAACAATGATTGTGAACGAACGCTTGGCAGGTTATACACTTTTTTTTTCATTAATCGACTCCAAATTTCCAGGGCTTTCCAAAAAGCTAATAATATTTGGATGGTTAAATCTCAAAAAAGTTGTACTATGCAGACATTGAACCATGCAGACATTGAACCGAAAATCCAGGCTAGGCTGTGGGTAGTGCACATAGACGTTAAAAATATCCTATACTGTTTTTTGTGTGCAAGGTTAGCATTAAAAAGGAGTTTGAAGGTTGTAATAGATTCAGAGGTTTCTGGATTAACCCAAACTACAATAAAAATGATATCCCACCGTTGCAAAACTTATGCTAGATTGATATTTTTGAGGTAAGTCACCTTGAAAAAGGTCTAGCCAATCTTTGAAGGCTGACTGAGCTTGAACACTTGGCAAATTGTGTAACTTTGTGCCCGGAAATGAATTCAGCAAGTTTCTAGCTTTCGAAAACTGTAAGGTATGTATGGGTAACTCTGTCTGGATATTGCAAGCCGAAAGTTTAAAGCATCTATATGTGTTTCAGGAGTAGAGGTGGATATACTGGTGTTTTAAGCTGTCACAGAAACTGTCACAAATATGTTTGATCGAAGATTGTGAACGAACGCTTGGAAGGTTATGTACTTTTTTTTTTTTAAATATGTTTAATTTTTTCTGAAATTTCTGAAAATGTGACTGAAAGTATAGCATTCCTGTCCAGATTTTAAACCAGAGTAATTTTAATATTTTTTCAAGCACTTTTGGCGTAGAGCCCAAGATATTTGTTCTTTAAACAAATATTGTGAACGAACGCTTGGAAGGTTATGTACTTTTTTTTTTTTAAATGTATTCAGTTTTTTCTGAATTTTCTGAAAATTTAATTTAAATTGTACTATCTCTGTCCAGATTTCGGACCAGAGTTATTTTAATATTTTTTCAAGCACGTTTGGCCCACAGCCAAAGGTATAGGTCCTTTAACCAAAGATTGTGATCGAACCCTTGGCAGGTTATGTACTTTTTTTCTTTTAAATGTATTCAGTTTTTTCTGTATTTTCTGAAAATGTAATTGAAAGTATAGCATTCCTGTCCAGATTTCAGACCAGAGTTATTTTAATATTTTTTCATGCACCTGTGGCCTACAGCCTACAGCCAAATATATTGAACTTTAAACAATGATTGTGAACGAACGCTTGGCAGGTTATACACTTTTTTTTTCATTAATCGACTCCAAATTTCCAGGGCTTTCCAAAAAGCTAATAATATTTGGATGGTTAAATCTCAAAAAAGTTGTACTATGCAGACATTGAACCATGCAGACATTGAACCGAAAATCCAGGCTAGGCTGTGGGTAGTGCACATAGACGTTAAAAATATCCTATACTGTTTTTTGTGTGCAAGGTTAGCATTAAAAAGGAGTTTGAAGGTTGTAATAGATTCAGAGGTTTCTGGATTAACCCAAACTACAATAAAAATGATATCCCACCGTTGCAAAACTTATGCTAGATTGATATTTTTGAGGTAAGTCACCTTGAAAAAGGTCTAGCCAATCTTTGAAGGCTGACTGAGCTTGAACACTTGGCAAATTGTGTAACTTTGTGCCCGGAAATGAATTCAGCAAGTTTCTAGCTTTCGAAAACTGTAAGGTATGTATGGGTAACTCTGTCTGGATATTGCAAGCCGAAAGTTTAAAGCATCTATATGTGTTTCAGGAGTAGAGGTGGATATACTGGTGTTTTAAGCTGTCACAGAAACTGTCACAAATATGTTTGATCGAAGATTGTGAACGAACGCTTGGAAGGTTATGTACTTTTTTTTTTTTAAATATGTTTAATTTTTTCTGAAATTTCTGAAAATGTGACTGAAAGTATAGCATTCCTGTCCAGATTTTAAACCAGAGTAATTTTAATATTTTTTCAAGCACTTTTGGCGTAGAGCCCAAGATATTTGTTCTTTAAACAAATATTGTGAACGAACGCTTGGAAGGTTATGTACTTTTTTTTTTTTAAATGTATTCAGTTTTTTTGAATTTTCTGAAAATTTAATTTAAATTGTACTATCTCTGTCCAGATTTCGGACCAGAGTTATTTTAATATTTTTTCAAGCACGTTTGGCCCACAGCCAAAGGTATAGGTCCTTTAACCAAAGATTGTGATCGAACCCTTGGCAGGTTATGTACTTTTTTTCTTTTAAATGTATTCAGTTTTTTCTGTATTTTCTGAAAATGTAATTGAAAGTATAGCATTCCTGTCCAGATTTCAGACCAGAGTTATTTTAATATTTTTTCATGCACCTGTGGCCTACAGCCTACAGCCAAATATATTGAACTTTAAACAATGATTGTGAACGAACGCTTGGCAGGTTATACACTTTTTTTTTCATTAATCGACTCCAAATTTCCAGGGCTTTCCAAAAAGCTAATAATATTTGGATGGTTAAATCTCAAAAAAGTTGTACTATCTTTTCGTAACATTTTTTTATCTAATTTTTTTCTGATAGATACCACATTTTTACATTTCGTTTTCAAACTCTTGGGAGCAATGTATAAGATGTTGTTTTAAATATTTCTATTGCTGCGGTCAATTAGAAGTGTCTTGGATAAAATATTTAGTGGTATTGTCATTTTTTACTTATTATAGGAGGTATTTAGTTCGTTACGTGTTCAGTTCATCACTTGCTGATTCTGTTTTCAGTTTACGTGATGTTTAATGGAATCTGAAAGTTTTTAAATGATCACTCACTTCTTGTTTTTGTGCAACGACTCATTCCTTTCCAACTTTTGAGACTTTATTTATATGCTGGCACTTTTTTTTTAATGCTCGATCAATCTTTCGTTTATTTCGTGTGAGCATGCGCGAGACACTTCAAAAATGTTTATAGCAGTAGCAGCCCACTATAAAGCTCTTCAAATAAATTGTCAGATAGTTTTTGTTTCCTGTCCATCCTTACCTCTAATTGATATGATTCTAAAACTGTTATAACAAGGCCTGTCACTGTTGCTGTCTGACGTGTTGCTTGTTAACACCATTATCTTTTGAGTTCATATATCTGATTGTCTTGTATCGGATCAGCTTTATGGGATATACCTTTTTTAGCAACTTAAATACTCAGCAAAGACGACTCTTAAGCTATTCAAACTATTTGCACATCTTTATAATTTGTTTTCCACTTTTAAGAAATATTTTTTTATCCTTGTCTTATAGTGCCTTTTTTCCAACAGCTTTCGGCTTCAGACGAAATTAATTTTTTTTGTTTCTATAAATTTTGTTAGCGGCGTAAGAAACGGTTGTTTAGCTATCTGTAGAATGTACGATGTTTAAAAGTGTGTTAGAAAAATAATATTTGTTGATATTGTTATTTTCTTGGTTTTATAGTGAGGAATTATCTCTAATACCTCATCCATTAATTTTCCCTTTGCTGGATAGGTATTTCAAGTATATTTCACTTCTTTCGATGTTCTAGAAATGTAGGACTGACGGCTTTTTGGGTTTCTATCATATTACCACTACCTTTTTGAACTCCTGATTACCCTTTCAAATATTTGAATATATACTTGGAATACACAGCGGCAAATTTGTATCCTACTCCTTACTAAATGTTATGTTTTAAGGTAAAGTAAAATTATAAAAAGACTATCGGAGTAGTTTGAGACTGTTTATAAGATCGTCTTTTAATAATAAACGAAATGTACCAATATTTATATAAAATACTGTTGGCTGTGTTCATATCTCAAGTGCCGTGTTGAAGTTATCCTAGATTAACCAAAAATGTATACGATTATTATATAGTACTACTTTAGTCTTGTTCTAATAAATGTGAAGTTTTTTTTAAATCTCCTTGCTTTAAACTATATTTTAATTATTTCTCAGACGTACTAAATTGGACTTGCGATGTAATATCCTTATAGTTCTTACTATGACATTTATTGTAAAGCTTATATCACAAATGGTATTAGCGTGGATAAACCTTTGTCAGCTCTAATATGGCTATATTCTTGCTAGGTCACCACACACTCCTCGGGTACTGTAGTCATGTCTATTTAATTCTATTTCTGTATTCAAGATCTTATCTGTTTTTTCTTTTTCTTTGAATTAAACTTTTTCTACTCTCATCCATTTAATATATGTTAATACTAATTGATATAATGCCTGTTTCTTTGGTCCTCACCTTAATAATTATTCTGTTCTGCTCTTGCCCCGCTCCGCTCCTCACAGGCCCACTGATTTGAACAAGTCGTCTTGATTAATTCTGTTTATAGCTCTGTTAAATACACCATTACTAAAACCAGTCTCCAAAGCAATGATACCATTAGAGCAGCATTGGACGAAACGAAAATGTGGTAGACTCAAAAATGTGTGACATGTTTGGGATAAAAAATATTCCAGTAAAGGTTATAAAAAAGAAGGGTTTAACTTCTTATAAGAGTGATAATAGCTTATACATTTTTTATGAAGCGCTTTTAACCAGACCAATAACTTAATAATAACAAAAGACAGAAAATAGAAAATGTTCACAAAGTGTCCCTATGATATGAGTATGTGATGTCGTTACAAAATACAATAACCTCAAACAGTTAGGATAGTTTAGAGGTCACTGTATATATGTTTTTGAAATCCAACGCACGTTTAAGGACGTTCCGATATGATTTGCGACTTATGTTATATGTGAAATTAACTAAGATAATTCCCATACAAGCTTAGAATGCTTGAACCATTTTTGAACAGTTTCCAATTGCTTATAATCTATTTTGGTTGTTAGTTAAATGTAATCAGTGAACCCGTAAGTGTCGGATCTGTATTGATAACGGACCAGAATTCCCTGAAGTATCGCATAACAACCGAAAGCGGACCGTAGTTCCCTGAAGTCAACGGATTTTCAGGGATAACGGACCGGAGTACCCTGAAATCAACGGATTCTCAGTGATAACGGACCGGAGTACCCTGAAATCAACGGATTTTAAGGGATAACGGACCAGAATTCTCAGATTTGTATGATTTAGGCTGCTGACATGAAACAAAATATATAGAGATCTTAAATAGGAGATGTACTAATATGGAAAAGCTCCGTTTTTTTTTTAAAAAATGTTTTTTTATCAATATTTTTTTCCTAAATTGAATTCTGTCAAAAATAATGTTGCCATATTTTTTTATTATTAATCTATTATTAATCTACTGCTTAAAAATGAAAAATTTGTGGGCATCGAATGGTAAGCCACCAGAAATAAACGGTCCTAAAATGGACTACTAAAATGCCAAAATACAAAATAAAATTTTATTACTGTTTCCTTACCTTAATTTTTTTAAAGTGAACAATCAAAACAACAACAACAGCCCTATCAATCACCAATTTATTGAAGTGACACCGAATGGTGTAGCCTATGGTAGCAACCGTCGCATGATACTACTGTTTCAGAAAAACAGGAGGTTGCTGTCGTCGTTCCTACTGCTGCCGCCGTTTCCCCGGCTGCACTTGCTACTGCCACTGCTGATGCCCGGAGGCTGCTGCCACTATTAAGTTTCGGATACCAGATACACGCACTTAAATGGGAATTCAGCTAGCACCTTTGCTCTTATTGAATTGTTTGCTTATTAAAACAAGCGGTTGGAGTCCAATCGTACGCTAGCTGAACTAAATGAGTCGTACTGTGCATGTTGCACTCATTCAAGACTAAAAACAGTACCAATGGAAGCAGACCTTTCAGTCCAATAAAGCCTAAATGGTCTTCTCTCTGTGTTGCCTTCAGACATCGCAATGATACGTTGAATCCAACTGGTACGGCACCGATTGAAAACTGGGTTTACCATGATGCGATGGAGAACCCGACCAGTGAGATGACCAGCGCGATCCCATCCACTGTGTATACCTCTCTTGCTGGAGAGACGATCGATAATCCTGGTGAAGTTGCTGTGCTAGACGAGTAAGTGCCGTCAAAAACGAAGGTGCTGAGAAAGGTGTGGTTCGTGGGGCAGCCAGTTAAAGTAGAGCGGTCAACCAAACGATCGAGCATCTGGTCACCTCCATGAATGAGATCGCGGCACGTCGTTTGGAGCATGGAGAGTCAGAGCGTAGAAAGTTCACTAAATATGTTGCTCGTTCGACAACGTTTTTCCGTCAGATGTTGGAGTCCATGGAGAAACTGGACCAGGTGCAGTCTCGCATTGCTGAGTAGATGCAGGCCAGTCTGAATATTCAGCGCCAGATGCTAATGGTGATGAAAGGGGATTTCGGCTCAAGCAACAACAACGCCACCAGCTACAATGCGTTCGAGAACGGTGAGTACAATTACACCAACAACACCAGCCCCTACTTCCGCCCAGATGTCAATGGTGTTCCTGTCGCCAATGACTATCAGTTCAACAGTACTTCTGCCAGCAGCACCAGCGCGTACAACAACACCGACACCAGCAACATCGTCGTCAGCAGCACCCTTCCCAACAGCATCCTCCCATACAAGCTCCTCTGCCAATGATATGACGATCGATGGCAGTGTCACGACGGTTTCTCCTGTTCCGTCAGACTTGCTGGATATCATTTATCCTTCGTCCGATGAATATAAATTTCATAACATCGACTAAAATATAATGTGGTTTTTTCTTCAATAATAAATTTGTTTTATTTTTCAAAACATTTTGGTACTTAACACATTTAAGGAAAAGCTGCATTAAAGATACGCAAGCGGGCTCGGTTACCTATAACACATGTATCACCCTGCTCTTCAACTACAAGACCAGCAGGCTCATGAAACACACCATCGAAGCCTAGCTCCCCTCTTGCCGTTCATGCATTGTGTAGAATAGCACACGACCCGATGATATCATTGATATCCAAATTATTATACACGTAAATATGGAATTGTGTGAATCTCCACTGATGAACGAACTTACCAAAAGTTCTTTCAATGGCCATTCTTCTGGCTGAATGCGAATAGTTGACTAACCTCTTGCGCGGATCCCGGAGAAATTCACTTTCAGGGAATGGTGTAACCAAAATGGCAATGGTCGGATAGGCCGAATCACCGAGAAAATAAAATTCTTTAGGGAAGTAATGCCCAGGATTGTTCATGATCTTCCAGCTGAGATCACTGGAATTATTGGCTGAGGCATCGTTACTTCTGCGTAATGTATTCAAAGTAAATTAGTTTCCATATCTCATCTTTATATTGGTCATTATTAATAGAGTCTCTTACGCGAATGTAAGTAAACATACATGTATCGTCACAAACAGCGGTAAGTTTAATGGTGTAGTTGGTTTTTTCTGTCACAGAATCCTGCTCCATAAGCGGCTGGAGTTGGCTTATGAATGGTGACGTTTTTTCCATCAATAGCACCAATTGCATCTGGAATACTCACACCAGGACCTTTGTTGAATCCAGCAGATATAGCACCTACCATGGCTGAATTGGTAGGCCAATCCATCATATAGCTAAGCACATCTTTGATGGTCTTCACCGTACGCCTCGTGAAATTGGTATAGCTGTCATACAAAGCACCATACAGGACATACATGTTTCTGTATCCAAAAGGACAATTGGCCAGTCTTAAAAGACAGGTAGCTATCTGGATGTAGATAAGAACGTGGTTTGGTGTCTTGAAATCAAATTCGGGATGAGTAGACAGCCTGTTGACAAGCCAATTAAAAGAGTCCGTTCCCATTTGATATGGGGCACGGAAGCAATCTACTAGTTTTTCGTCGTCGTCGTTAAGGTTGGG